TCTTCAGCAACGACTGGTTCAGGGGTGGCAGGTTCCTCGGACTTCTCAGAGACCGGCTCTTCCTTAGCGGTCTCCTTAACTGATTCTTCAGCAGCGACTGGTTCAGGGGTGGCAGGTTCCTCGGACTTTTCAGGGACGGGTTCTTCCTTCACGGTCTCCTTAACTGGCTCTTCAGCAACGGCTGGCTCAGCGGTGGAAGTGTCCTTAGGGTCTTCCGGCGCAGCCTTCTCCTCGACCGGTTCTTCGACAGCGGGCTCCTCAGTCACGGCCGCTTCAGAGGCGGGCGCTTCTTCCGACTTTTCAGGGGTTGTCTCTTCCTTGACGAGTTCTTTGGTCGTCTCCTTAGGCTCTTCCGCCGCCGTCTCCTCTTGAACAGGAGCCTTATCCGACTCGTCGAGCTTCTCAGCTGGCTTCTCGTTGGCGGATGTCTCCCTCAGTTCTTCGGTGGTCTCTTCTTTAACTGGCTCTTCGGCAGAGGACTTCTCGGAGACTGACTCTTTGGGCTGGTCCGATGCCGTCTCCTCCTTAACAGATTCTGTCACTGGCTCTTCCGTGGAGGGAGCTTCCTTAAGTTCTTCAGCGGTTAGCTCTTCCTTGGCGGGGTCCTCAGAAGCAACTTCCATCTGTTTTGTCTCGGCGGGCTCTGTGGCGGGGGCCTCCACCTCCGCAGTCGGTTGCGCTTCGGCGACGGGCTGCTCCGTGATGGCTTCAGTTGCAGTAGTTTCGGTGATGGTGGGCTTCTCGGGGGTCGATTCTTGAGCGGGGGGTTCCTCAGCCGTGACTTCGGGTGCGGACATCTCAGCAACAGGCTCCTCGGGCTTAGCTGCTACTTCTTCGGCAACCTTCTGCGGCTGGGATTCCTCCGATTGCTTCTCAGTTTCAACGTTAACATCGCCGTTCACAACCGGCGTCCCCTCCTCCTGAGCAGGGATGGCTGCACCTTCTTCAGCCTTCTTTTCGGTGTCTTCCTTCTCCGCCACGGGCTGAGATTCAGCCACCTTCTCCTCGGGCTTCTCTACCACCGGCTCCGACTTCTCCTCGGCCACGGGCTGCGCAGCAGGTTCGGTTCCATTGACTTCAGGCCCCTTGGTGCCATTAGAAAGAACCTCCTTCGGCTCTGGCTCAGTCTCTGCTTTGACATCAGCCTCAATAGGTTTTTCAAGGACTTGGGCGGTCTTCTGATCCTCGGCAGGAGACTGGTCAGCCACAGGGGCTTCGTGATCAGCGACTCTGTTGACACCATTCGACTTGTGGACGCCATTCGTTACTGGCTCAACATGTGTCGAAGCTTCTGTCTCGGGTTCTTTTGTGCTCTCCTCCGCCTTATCACTGGCACCATTTTGGATGGGAGTCTCCGGCTCGGCCGCAGGCTTGACGGTAAGGTAATTGTTGACCAGGCCCTCAGTTCCCGAAGCTATGGTCCCAAAGGATTAGTTAGTCATGTCGTTATTCCCGAGATAGTTACCTTGAACAAGTTGCTGAAGCCGTTTCGAACTTACCGTTTTTTACAGACTCATCGTGAAACCAGGATCCAGTCGCGCCTTCTCGGAATCTGTACTGGTATTGCCCCGGAGCCAGCTTGAAATCCCGGAAGAAAAGGTACTCGGTCGAGTAGAGGCCCGGGTCTAGTTCCGATTCAACCTCTATCGTCTTAACGTTCAGCTCCAATGGCTCCCATTGCGGTTCCGAGAAGGTACCGGCGACGAAGATGGTAGGGGTATCAGTCGGACGACGGACGGAGATAGTAACAGTCTCAGCAATGGATTCCACCATTGTTATGATCGTCAAGGTCGTAACAGTCGTTAAGTATCAAACAACAGATCAGAGCGCAAAAGAGGCTTTAAGGAACAATTACACAACAACAGGGATATCGAGTAAATCGATGGAATAATATACAAAAAAGAAAAAAAACAGGAACGAGGAACGAAAAGAGAATAGGCCTCCCGGACAATGGGATAGGGTAATAGGGTTGCGAGAGGCAAGGGAGGTGAAACTTTGGAGGGGCGATGGAGGTGGGATTGGTCAGATCAAGTTGTATGAGTTTGATTGATGATCAAACCAAACTCACAATTGGGATGGAGTTTGTATAGTAGTAGTAAGGTGATTAATGAGTTGAGGAGGGGAGAAGAGAGAAAGGAGAGGAGAAAGGAGAAAGACAGAGTCAATCATGGGTAACATTAAAAAAAAAAAACGGAAAAGAAAAAAAAAAGAAAAAAGAAAAAAACAGAAGGGTCCCCACTCAAGTGATGGAGGAGGGAGAATTCCGGACTAAGATGGTTAGTGAGGTCGACTGATGGAGGGACTGAACTCCCGCTAGTGGCCGAAAGGCCGTTAACTTAGGGATTAGTTTGGCGGGGCAGCGAAGTAGTTGTCACAGTGATACTGATTTCACCCGTCTGTGATTGTTTTGCTTTTTCTTTTTTAATTTCGTTATCTATGCCACATATATATACAATATAAGCTTTGAGGGGGGTGGTCTTGAGACAAGAGACAGAAGTGTTTACAAGGACGAGAAAAAGAACAGCACTCGAATCATGAAGAAGTGATATGAAAATGTAGAAACCACTCTGAATGAAACTGTAGATATCAGCAATTGAGTCAGGTTGAAGATAGACAAACCTAGATACATTGCTTACTCCCTCCTCCGGACGGTTCGCATGGAGGGGGACGCATTAAATTATCTGCAGATCTTCGATGGCTGCGTGATCCCATCGTCTCTGTACGTCACTGGTTACCGACTGGAAAATGCGGTGAGTGGGCGGCGCCAATCACGGGGACAGCATAAAATATGTTTCTTAAACTGATTGAGTAGTGGGTAATTACTATCCAGCCAGTGATTGACTTGGTGATATACAGCGCCATTCTCCGGAGTATGCAACGATAACGGATGTTGTGCACATTGGCCGGAATCAGATCATCCTCCAGTCGGCTGATGAGGGAAATTTTCATGAGAAGAGCAAATAAAAATTAAAATCCTGCTCGCCGGATCGTGTACGCCGAGTAGGGGAGAAAAAAACAGTGGAGAACTATACTGACTAGACTCATAGTGCAGTCATGGCACCATTACCCCTACTCCATCCGGTTTAGTTGCCCTCCGCTACGGACTCCACTCAGCTCACTATAAACTGCGGAAATCATATCATCCTCTCGGAAGGGATTGGAAATACGACGGCATGGTCCAATCCTCCAAAGATCTACCGATTCTTGTCCGCCTGGATACTCCATGCGCAACCCGGGGCGATGCATTTTAAATTACATCTGCAGCGCTAAGGCGGGACATCGAGATTGGACTCCTCTCTGCTTTCCCTTCCTTCTTTGTTTTCGATCACAATCCCTCGGCTTCATCAAGAAATGGTTGATACCCCCTACCAATCTTACCTGTCCGAATATGCCGGGAACTAGTAAAAACTCCAAGTCATTGCGAGTCGTCCACTTTCCCATACCAAATCTGATGTCATGGAAATCAGGTATACCAATTGCGAATGCCATTGTTGTCTTTTCTTCGTTGCGGTTCCAGCCCCCATCCCTTGGGTGACTCAGTGGAGCATCCACTGCTTCCAGAGCCGTGGAACAAGATATCCCTCGGTAATTATTTCCCTGCGGTGTAACCCAAGAGGCAATGAATTTATGATATACCCTTGCGACCGACTACCAGCCAATAATGGAAAACCCCGTGACAATGCAGTGCTGTGAGCTCTGTTCAGTCCCATTGCAGCCTAACCAACTTTATTCCGAGGATGGTGTTTATTAATGAACGTAACTTTATCCTTCTGCGCTGGATACTCACTTGGGTTTAGTGCCTAGTGATCGTCGGCCGAAGTATAAACGACTGAACTTTCCTGCCCTTTGCCTCACCCTGGGCTCAAATTGTCATTCTCCAACGAAAATCAACGCTATCTCATGAACCCCGCTGCAGATCATGCATGTTCAACAAATTAGCTATGGTCCATGATCTTTGTCACAGATTCTTACTTTGACTCATCCCCAGGGGTAACGAGTCTGTCATCAGAGTTTTTGGAGTCCAATCAAGTGATACTAAAAAAGAGATCAGACAAGTGTTTGGAATTCAATCTCAAAGGGAACGCTATATATGAAAAACGCTCGATCAAAGTGTCTCGAAGAACTGAATGACAGGAAAACACCGGTACGCTCATCATGCTCCTCTGTATGCTTGACATTATATTCTCAAGACAATTATGGTAAATCAAGGGGGGGGAAACAAAACGTGACTCAACATGTTGGGCCCAACCAGCGGCGCCAAACATGGAGTCGTGGGCTCATAAGCCATTCGTGGGTCGTCACTGCGCTGATTAAATCCCAAAGGGAGGAACACAGATGGTATAACATCGGGCGTAAAGGGCCAAGCGTCGTTAGTATATCTCTAGATCTTCGAACTCAACCACCAAAGAATCCTGAGAGCCTACTGCGGACTCACTCAAGACCGGACCGTTCATCATCTCCCACATGGTACTGTTGCGAGATATGTTATTCGGCCGACTCGCGTAAACTCCCACATGGATAAACTTGTCCTCCACGCCGTAGAAGAACCATGTCACCTCCCGTAGTTTCTTCCACGTGCTGCTCACTGCGCTCGGGCTCAGGGCATAGGGAACAGCGGATGGAATCTGGTACCAGATCCATAGGGAGTTGCCGATCCGCTCTAATTTGATGCGCAGCGACTGCACGGCTGATGGCCCGCTGTCGGGGAGGCTGAGCGGTGAAAGACACCAATCGGCTCCATCCGCAGTTGCACTGACCGAAGAGACGTTGACAGTGCCCGAGCTAAACTCCATACCCGCTTTAACCCATTTGCACGGTCGTGCGATCTGGGGGTATCCCGAACGACTCGATCGCGTTCCGGAGTCCAATGGGGCGCTTCCGGACGAGCAGGATTGCGGTGCGGCTCCGGCAAAAATTACCAAACCACCTTGATCCCATTCCATTTCCCAGTCCGCACTAACGGTCACCTCTGCGAGTATGAATGGATTTCGCAGTGACGTGAATACAATGGGTGCTGTGGATGTATCGCCATTTGGGGGCTTTCGCCAGAGGTCGGTATTGGGACCAGCGGTAAGGGTGAAATATTCCATGCATTGTGGGAGAGAAAATGTTTCTGGCAAATTCAACGCCGTGAATGACGAGCTGGCTGGAGGCATATTGTTTCTTAGGGACCAACCGAACCAGTCGGTTCACCAAGGGGAATTCTCGTTCCTTCTTCCTTTTTGGTGGGAATCAATTTAATCCTGTTGCTCACTTCTCTCGGAAAGAAATAACCAGAAAACAAGGATAAATTCCTGCCTCTTCTGCCTTACCCCTAATTCTCTAAGGTCAGCTTCTGAGTTGTCGACAAGCTGCACACGCGGTTTTCGGATTTTTCAGCAGCGTAAGCATAGAAAATTGGGCTCGAGTGAGAGTAAAAGTAGAAAGGAGAGGAAGAGGGAGATTATCGATAAGTAAGGTGCGAATGATGGTGCTCCAAAACCAGAAGCAAGGGAGTTGTGGCCTTCAAGAATCCACGTCCAACCTGGCACTTTTCAGGGCCCTAGTATGGATTGAGTAAGTCCCCCAGGTGCACAGCCAGGAAACAAGAACGGGTCAAGTCTAGACTGGGCGACGATGCAAAATTAAAGCGACGGGTTTTCCAAACATAAAATATAAATATAAAAGGAGAGAAAGAAAGGTCAAACAGCAAACACAAGCTTTTAGACGTCAATTGAGAAAGAGAGTAAGAATGTTGTTGAAAGCCAGATATGGTGTTTCGATCGCAAAGCCGCGCATAGATCGGCCTCAAGGGAAAGGCTCCAATGGGGAATGAGAAACCAAACATCCAAGCCACAGAGTGACACGGGTATATCGAGTCACAATCACTAAAGTTGCCGGTAACATGCAAGGTCGGATCTCAAAGGCTTGGGACTATTCGTGGCAATCGAGCCATGGGGGCTGATTTATAGAGTCGGGGCGAAGACAACTTTGCCCCCCTAAATCAGGGCGGAAAAATAGCCAAGCAGTAGAAATGTCCAACGGGAGAAGAACCACTCTGCTGGAACATGTCCTCATTACTCTGACGGTTCCGAGGTGCTGGACACTCCTCGAACCATGTTATTCGAACGTTTCTTTTTTGCTTCCTTCTTCCCGGTTTTCCTTTCCCTTTCCCTTTTCTTAAAAAAATAATATTATTTTTTTAATTAAACTTCTGCCCTCTGTGCGTAGAAATCATGATTGGATTTTTTGGCGAGATTTGCTTTTCAGGTTCAGTTCTGCAGCGGATGGGCTGCAGACCAGTTCAAGAGTGGCGGGTCAGATGCTGCATCATTGGGAGACAAGCAGGCCACGCAAGTGGTGAGTTGTGGGGGATAATGTTGGTCCAAAGCAGCTGAAACAGAGGCCGAAAGGGAAAATAAGTCAGAATAGTCCGAGACGTATTGGCCCGACGCTTGTGGCTAGTTCTGGGGATTCAGCAGAGAGCTCACAAGGGAGCTGAAAGGAAAATGGAGAATGGACGGAAGGTCCGCGGTGGATGAGAGTTAAAGAACGTAGTACTTTTAGTGTTGTTGCAAGTGGTGTGGGAAAAAGTGTTTATTTAATTGCCCTGTTTGCCACTCCACTCACAATGCGCGATAGGCAACTGCGCCATACTTAGTAGTCCCTTGTGAATGGACGCATTGATGTTTTTTTTTTTCAACTCCTTCTCTTGAGATATCTATCTATAGAAATTCCTCAGACCTGCCTATTTTGTCAACCGGTTGTGCGTCTCTCGTATAAGAAATCCCCAAGAGTTGGGGTTGTTGGACACTCTCCGGGCCAAACCTACAGACGCACATACCTATCCAACAGAATTATGGTTACTTGCATAGTAAAGATGATTGCTATTAAAAATCCAAATGAAGCACTATAGCTTGTTTCTGTATGTTTCTGAGTTAAATCGCGTCCTGATCGAATTCCTATTATCCAACTTGTGGATACATAATTAGTATGCCACCCAACTCGAGAATGAATCATATATATACCGTAGGAAACTTGGTTCCAGGGTAATATACGGACTGTACTGAATCTTAACTCATATTATTCAATATAACTACACAATCCAGTTTCCAATACATATTTCTTGGCTCGTGTATTTGAGTGTCTTTCGGCTTCCAGCACCAGCATTCAGCGATATAATGCCAAATACATGGATCTCGATTGCGTGAGCTTCTAGAGACTCGTCTAGACCAAGGAACCTAGCATCATGCGAATGCGGGCACACTTCACAGAATGTGGTCATTATGTCGGGTGTTTCCTGACCACCATCTTGACAAAATTCTTGAACGGCGATAGGCTCATAGAAAGAGATAACCTAATCCCAGTGCCTCCCCATCTCGTATACCCTCCTTCAATTTATTGATGTTACCACGACTTAGGAGAATGTTACAATAGGGCGTTGGGGTCAATAAGAATCAGTGGGAATATCACCAAAAAGCCCTCTTTCATTCAACAACCTCTTACATCAACTTTTGTAGCCTATCAGCTAGCAATAGTCTTTTAGAAATAACTTCGTCCCTCATCATCAGACATTGCCCATTCAATCGATTACTCCCTACTCAGGCTTGTTGATTGTTTGTTGATTGAAATACCGTCGGGGAAAATACTGCATATAGGCCTAAGTTAATGTGATTATATACAGGGCAGGACCAATATGCCAGAATGTTTGCTTTTGTAAGAATCCTAATTAGGGCTGGGGTTTTTCATACAAAAACTCCAACTGCTCTAACTCAAAGCATCAACAAAAATAAAAATGCAGTGCGGTTCATAGAAGCAACTTTAACTTCCCATGAGCATTGCATTATATCCGGGGTCAATGTCGATCTCTTCAGTTTTGTTTTGCTTTTTTCTTTTCTTTTCCTTTTATGTTTAACCTTGGTACTTTTCAAGTCTCGGCTTTGTGGATCGGGGCTGTGTCGGGCGCAGGTAGCCGGTGGATCAGCAGTATACGCGATCCATGCCATCCTACATACGAATCCACCTTCTTCAGCTCTTCAGCCCTTCTGTTCAAAACTTTGATCTCGGCAAACCTTTTATACTCCATAGTTCAGCTTATGACTGCACTATGACACGAGTGCGAAAATCATACGGAACACCCTGTAGCCGTGCCTTAGCTCGCCAAGTGCAAAGACAATTTATCGATAATGTCAACATATAGTAAGCAGTAAAGGAAAAAGAAAGCAAAATTGGGCAAATTCTCCGCACATAATCTCTACAAATAGTACGCGTTGTAATGCTTGTCCCAAGCCCTACCAAGTGCTTATATGCATGCGAATTACGGCGTTGGTCCCGGTTCAAGTAACAATATACTATCTCTTGCCCGAGCCTTCGAGATAAGACTGAGGAAAGCGTTTACAGCCTAATCAACTTCCTACAGTGCGACCTAACAACTGTTCCACACAGCCTGGCATTGTCATTGCTCACCAAAACCAGAACCAGAGTATTCAATGAAAAACCATTGTACATGCTCCATCATTTCAATGTTGGCCAACTATATTTATATATTGTTCTGGGCACATTATTGGACAAACACAGCTACCAGCCATCGTGTACGTCTTGCTCCTTTATTAAGGTATTTCTTTGTTCCTTAATGACAAATACCCAGTTTTTAGGCCCCAAACTAATCACATACTAGTAGGTCACTCCTAGTAAGGGCTCGAATCTCTATAGACTCGGCCATATCATTGGTGCCAGCATATATCTAACAGGAAATATCCTACACACGAGTCCTCTAGGCTCCTTCGGCCCATCCACCAACACAATTAGAACCAAACCACCTTACCGAGACCCTCATCTCTTGGGGTTCAATGCAATGCTAACCCCCAAACCCACGAGGCCCGCGGATATTGCGGGTTATCCTGTTTGCGATAGCAGCCAAAGCACTCCCTAGTTCCCTCATTAACACATACGGAGTAGATAAGCATACACCATAAGATAAACAACCCCGTCGGAAGACCGATATATTCCTGCCCTAGTGATACTGTATTTATTGGTACGAAATTATGTACATCCTTCGACTATTGATGCCTGATTTAGAAGGCAGTAAATGCGTCATGCCCTAGTACTACTAGTACTAGGGCCTTGGCGCTTGATGCAACTCCAACCCCAAAGAGGAATACCTAGATACGATTTCATACTAACAACAAGACGCAATCCCATCATCAAGAACAACCCTAAACACAACCCGGAAATCCAAAAAGAAAGATAAAAAAAAAAGAAGGGAAATGGTCTGCTCAAAATGCCAAAAGAAACTCAAATCCACCGAGCTTGCTACTCCCGGCGTCAAACGCAAAAGTGAGATGTACTATGGTTCGCCATCGACCTCGGTGGGAGGTGGCGGTGGAGAAGGCAGTAAGTCTAAGCCGACGCTAGGGAATACGGGTGTTGGGAAGGTATGCTTTTCCACCTTCGTTTCTTTATTAAAATGGGATTGGCGGGGGTTGAGTTTGGGTAGAGTGTTTGAGGGGATGGGGTCGGCTGACATGGTAAATTGCTATAGAGCAAGTTGCTTAGCTCCAAGGCTAAGAATCCTTATGCGGCTTATTCATCTGCTTGTGAGAGCTGTAAGACGAAGACGGAACAGGGGAGGAAGTTTTGTCAGCGGTGTGCTTATCAGAAGAATGGTTCGTTTCTTCCTTGTTATTCTTGTCTCATTCTTGTCCTAATGGTAAACTGGTGGGGGGTTGCTAATTGATAACTTAGCTTGTCCGATGTGCGGCAAGAGTATGGCTGGGAAGTCTAAGAAGGATCAGCCCATTGTACAGGGACAGAAGTTTAATCTGAAGTAGTTGAAGGACAAGTTTGGGTCGTTAGTTGATTTGCTGTTCTGTTGGGTTGTTTATGACGTCGTTTATACTGCCTTGTTCATATTGGGTATGGATTAAACTAGGTTGCATGGTGTTTTGGGCTCTGTTGATACTGTAAATCAAAGAACGGTTGAAGGATTTGCGAATAATGATATGGTAAATTCAAAAGCTAGTTATACATGACATACAATATATATGCAGTTCTGGCCCATCTCGGGCATAGGCACTTCCCACTGGATCGAATCGCTCAGTTCTATCAGTACACTCCTTCCACATCCCAGCACAGGATCTGATCATTCTCAGACAAGATACCTAGCAAGCCGTACACCCCACTTAACCAACTATTTACCGCTCAGCCAACATGTTCTTGATGTTGCTGTAGTACTGTGGCAGCACAAAGGGTGCAATCTCCTCCTTGGTCAGCCACTTGAAGTCCTGGAGATTCTGCGTGTTGGCGACCAGATCAGCCTGTCCAGCCATAATTCGAGCCTTCATGAAGAAAGTCTTCTCGCCCAGATGCTCCGTGCCATTGGCCTTGTCCGCCCTCGGATATTTGAAGTTGTAGACGTGGTGGCCAACGGGGTGGAAGCCCACCATCCAGGTGTTCATATTAACGCCGGCGGCTTGCGCAAGAGTACGTTCAGCAGCCTGTACGTTACAAGACATGTCAGTATTACGCCCAATATAGTGCAAAGGGAAGGGGCACAGGGCTAGGTAATCTGCGGTGCACTCACCAGTCGAAGAGTTTCATCCTGCTCCACTGGAGAGCTGGGGAGCTTCCAGTACCCCTCCTTAGTCTGAACCAAAAGATAGAGTGTCCTCTGAAGGGCCCGGTTCAGGCTTCTCTGATCGTTCTTCTGATCCGCCTCCGTTGCTCGGGGGAATGGCCTGGGGATCTCCTCCTTCTTGCTGGTGTCTTGGGAGGTAGCATTGACTGTGGCTTCCGCATCCTGCACAAGCATCTCCACCTGATGCTCCGGTTCGGCCTCGACGGCTCCCACGAGAAGTTCATCGTTCCAGGCGTCCTTCGAGTACGCATTGTACTTGCCGATGTCACGCGCAGGCGTCTGGCGCTCCCGGATTTTACGCTTCCAGTCTTCGTCCGCTGGCGTTCCTCGCTTAAAGTAAAAGTATTTGGTGAATGGAAGCGCCAAACGCTCGTTCAGTCGCTTCTGGTAGAAATAGTATGCTTTCTCAAATTGTGAGAGGTCGCGGGTAATCTGAGGGGGGCGGGATAGGGCCACGCCGGCATTGATGGTGTAGACGGGCTTCACGACGGGGAAGGGAGTTGTAGCGGTAGAGGTAGTTTCTGAAGAAGGCTGTGCAGCGGTCGAGGAATAACTGCGGCGAACAAGGGTCTCTTGACAGCTTCTGCACACTTTGGGGTCGGCAATCGAGGGCCCTAAACAGAGTCAGTACGGCGTATGATTGGCCATTGGTGTATCGACAAAGGACGTACGCAAAACAGACGCTATGCGCCTGGCACCATTGGATCCCGACGACATCTTGCCGACTGTGTTTGCTGGATACTGACGTGCTTGTCAACAGTCCGATGCCGATATTGCGAGAAAAGTTGGCGGTCACCTGTCCGCTGAGAGAGCATCGGAAACACTAAACCCGGGGAGGTTAGACTCTCAGGTGACCCGCCATTTTTCTTCCTTTAAATTTTCCCGTTGTTCCTCTTACTTTCTTTTCTTCTTCACAGCACCTTTTCCTTATCGTCACTGTGTTTAGATTCTCCACGACCAGTCGATCATTTACCGGTGCTCAGAGTGAGTACTTATTTGCGGCTGATTTCGCTAGCGGTACCTTCTTCAAAATCAAGGTGTACTGTTAGATAGATGCTGCATACATCCCCTGGCATTACTACACTGTTTGCTTGGGGTTTTGCGAACTATTGTAGATTATGGCAGAGTGATTCTGTTCTCCATCACCTGTGAGGGGATCTGCCGGTAGATCATGATTGGATACTTGGTAATGTAAAGATAATTATCCTAGTGAGAGTGCTGGTTACAAATCAGGCAATGTGTGGCTGGACGGTGATTCTTAGGCGACATTCCAGACTCTTTCATCTGTTCCAAAAACACGCAGCTTATTACCGTAGACTTTCCAAAACTCTGCGTCTTGCCGTGGTATTAGTTCTCCATTGGCGACTTTACGCGTGATATCGACGGATCTGCTGGATTTACGCGATTTGAGCGCCATGCTTTCAACTTGATCTTTAATCTCTTCAACATCAAGCGCATCAAATCTCGTGCCAAGCTGGGTGCTCGTCGGTGTCCTGAGCGCCTCCTTTCTCGTTTCCGATTCCTTCTCTACAGTGCCCTTCAGGCTTTCTGGGACAGCCAAGGTCGTAGTGTTCAAACCCGTAGTACCCGACTGACCTTTCAATTCTACCGGCTCCGGGAGCTTGGAGATGCCTCCGTCACGAAGCTGAGCGGAGAGCTTGATGAATATTTGAGCTGTAAGCAGGCTGTCATAGCCTGCCTCGTGGTCAATTTTCTGGCTGTTGTACTTGGAATGCTGGTCATGTACACCTGGTCAAGAATTAGCTCAACGCAACAACAATCCAAGACGGGGCAGTTTCCGCACATATTTTCGGGGTCTTTATATGGAAAAGGTTATCGTTAATCTCGCTCAAAGACGATTTGGGGGTGATGGAACCACAATCGTGCGTAGCGATGTATTTTGTATCCATCAAAATTGGAAACATCTCATGAGCTATTGCTTGGAATTCTTCCAACTTATCCGGAAGTAGTCCAAAAAAGCAGCGATAAAGGTATACCACATCCGTGAAAAGGTTATGTCCTACCAGCACAGGCCGGTGAGTTTTCAAGCGCTGCTGCAATTGGTCAGAGAACTCGTGTAGTGAGACCTGTGGTTCCACGGTTGTTGAGCTGCTCATTATGCTCCCAAAACAAAACGGATCAAGATGCGAGAGATCGCCACCGGATAACGCCTCCACAATCCATCTAAATCCAGTCTGCTTCCAGACTCGCTCTTTCGCCCGAGTCATCCTCTGTTCACGGATAGCCTTCTCGCGGTCTTCGTCATAGTCGATGACTTGAATGAAAGCAGGCCTACTGATAGTCACTAGAGACGGGTATTCGACCTCTATTAACTGATGAACAAGCCTCTTTTGAAAATTGTTCAAGACCGATGGCATGAACTTAGGCTTTTGAGACGCAGTGTAGCGTTTTGGCGGGGGTATGTTGAGATAAGCCTCACGAGCCTAGCGACATTTAATTGGGGAGCACAGCAATAGAATAAAAGGTAGTCTACCTCTCTAAGCGCAAGCCAGTCATCAACAAGATGTCGCACTGCTTCCAGAAACGCCAGAGAGTCATGTTCTGTCTCCTTAACGTCGATCACTTTTCGCACAGAGGTACGACCATACCTCTCAGCAGCCCTGGCTATGGCTATTGTCTCCTCTTCTCGTGACAAATAGTGAACACCATCATTATAAAGAGAATTCAAACAGAACTTATTCTCCAAGAGAAACTCAACGGCTTTAATAGATCTTAGTTCCATTATCTCGCAGGTATGAAACTTGAAGGCATACCGCTGCTTTGGAAACACATGTCCCTCCCAACCTCTAATCTACGGTCGATTATCGGGTTCAGGTATAGGTTATAGGGTTTTAGAATGTAGGTTCCTGTAATCATGACCATCAATACCTCTAACTCAATCCTCGACGACGGGCATCTCTTACCTGACTCGGCGTCTTCATGACAAACTGTCAGACCAATTTGCACTATTCGATACTTATCGGCTGATTCTTTGACTTCCGCATAGCGCTCTTGTAGCGTAGACGTTTTTCTATTTGGCCCATTTGAAGAGCACGCAATCCCAGAAAATTCAAAGTCTATAGAAACGAAACTGCACGACGCTAGGTCATCCAGTATCCTGGGAAGGAAGAAGGGGAAAGTCTTAGGCGTGATATCCATCTCGTATCGTCACGGTAGACTTTTGAACACAAGAACTGGACCGAAATGAGTATGCTAGAATCGGGGCAAAATAGTTAGTTCAATAGGTAGCAATGATAATGTTCGCTGAATTGTATATGAACGCATTAATATGCAGATCGGGTTGTATCTTTCATGTGAAGTGGGCCAGAGTATAGTTAGTAATGTGAATCTCAATTCATTTCTCCAATGGAGCTGTGATATTCCTGTTCCTTGTATATATAGCTCAGGCTAGTACAATGTGAGAATAACCAGCCTGTAGTTCACCTAAACCTCGCACTTAGATAGGATAGTTAATTCCCGATCGTTGTATGTCAGCGCAGATCCACCGTCCCGTGACATCAGACCCCAGATTCGGCCACATCAGATTGAGCCGAGGGAAAAGGAACCCCGACTTGCAACCCGTCCAACCTGAAAGTTAGTGTCAAGTCACGTCCTCCTGTTAGCTGCATCCCAACCACCCCTGAGATACAATTGAGCGTGAATTGTGCCTTCAAATCTTCACTGCATATATTGTAACCACTACGCGAACCACATACCCCCACATTAATCATCTATCGCATCCTCCGCTGGCGGTGAAACAATGGCCGCCGAGATTCCGTGTCGGCCTCGCAGTCGCAACTCTCGACCTCCGCATCGTCCCTTTCGCCTTCAAAGATCTGCTCAAAAACCTACAAGAAAGCTTCTCAGCTCTTTTTAACTCGTCGCCTACAAGAAACTCTAACCACTCTTGAACCCATCCTCGTACCGAGTCAGGCAAATGACGACCAATATGCCAACGGTAACGAGTCGCTACCGCCGATTGCTATGGCTCAAGCTTCGGTGAGGATCAAAGTTTGGAATTTATACATCACACTGCTGAGCGCGATACTTGACTTGGGACCCGAGGAAGGAAAAGCAACGTTCGGCCAGAAAGAGTGGAAGGCTATTTCCACCAAAGTACGCGAGGGCGAAATCTGGGAGACGGTTGTTCAAACGGGTTATAAAGGCCGCGAGGGCTCGGTCGATGCCGAAGTCGTATATAATTTGTCAGTAATCCTTATCCTGGTCTATTGCTGGTTCTATTCTGACTGACTATGGGCAGAGCAACATTGCTATTGAATCATTCTCCTTCCCAGCAGCTCAACCAGCAGCGACTCGAGCACTATCTTTCATCATATGGTCAACCAAATCTGGACATTGCCGAGCATTTGCAGAACTCTCCTAATCAACAATCTAAGGCCCGAGTTAATGGCGGCACCGACACGCCGAGGGATTTGACGTCTCGGGTTAGAATAATTGAGCTTTTTACTCTCCATGTTCTCCCTAGGAACGAAGAGTGGGACTATGCGAGTGAATTCATCAACTTTAGTGAGGTCCTTGATGAAGAGCGAAAAGAGATGTTTTTGCAAACTCTCGATGGGCTTAAGGAAGAGAGGGAGCAGGGCGAACTGCGCGCTGCAGCGCTTCAGCGGGAGAAGGACGCCCAGCTAGAGAGAGAGATACAGGAAGCGGAACGCCAAAGGGCAGAGGAAGAGGCCGCAGCGGCTCAGCACTCTCAAAAGGGACATACCCGTGATAACAGTGAGGTGGACTACGGCATTGAAAAGACCAACCCGAACGGAAGTGCCAAAGGCAGAGGGAAGGGCGAGAAGCAATCCGGTAGTAAGGCAAGTACGTCATCCAATCGAACTGCTTTTTCGCCCACTGGTTCGAAGAAGAGACCGGAGAAGCCTGTATCCCGGCCCGGACAAACGCGAGCGTTGGCAAACGTACTACGCAACTTGTTGCGATATATCTCGAAGACGGTCGCCGGTAACCCGATGTCGTTCGCCCGGACGCTGTTGTTCCTGCTGGGGATCTTTGTGGCCCTAAGCAGGCAGGGCGTTCGGGAACGTCTCCGGAGAATAACCGAAGCTGGATGGCAAAAAGTCAAGGGAACCGTCGGAATGGGTGTGAAAGTAAGTTACATTTAGGTTCACATTCTTAGTTTCTTTTATTCCCATAGTCGCTGCCTTACAGGCTAGACATGGGCGTTCATGCGGGCGTCTGGTGGAAACCTAGACTGGATCTTTCCGCCGATGTTATATAGGATTGTTTCTTCTCCTTTGTAAATTTACCTACAAGACTTACGTACGATTCGGAAAGGACTTTTAGGAAAATAGTCACGACATCGAAATAAATATATCGAAATAAAATGACCTACCACTTTTCCTTCCTAATGTTCCTAGGTATTACTCTAACAACCGGAATCTACCCCCACGCCCTTCAAATCCATGTCACCAGCACTCGTCACTTCCTACCAGAGCAGATCTCACAACTCCCAAGGCCCCTCTTCCCACGCACTTTAGCCCTCCACCGCCGAACAAACTCACAAACCAATGTGCAACACAAATCCACTTAACTGTATACGAAACCGGAAACGTGCTCGCCTTAACATACAAGTCGACCGACATCCACATAGCGTACGACGAGATTCCCAGTCCCGTACTCTACGCTCAGGCCACAGATATACCTTTTATCAAGCCCATGATCGCAGGAGCGCAGGCGGACTGGAAAGACATAAACAAACCCCAGTGAGCAGGACATACAAAGCCACATCGAGGATGACGGTGGATATGACATTTTGATCCGAAATGGTCTACAATATCGTTGTTGCGAGACAGGAGGAGAATGCAGTCCCAGGATGTATCAATTGAGAAATCTGGTAGGAAATGCAACATCCGATATAATATCTGCTGTGTGGAAATAAACAGCGCACCAGCCTAGCAGAAGCAACCATATAGTACGGAACGATCTTCAGAAGAGAGTATTTCGCCGAAGCTCTCGCCGTTTGGGGCGGCTATGTCCATTGTGGGTACAGATGATCCAATTCTAAGTGTATGAGTACGCTTAGAGCCAATTGCTTGAACATATCCTTGTGCATATCCGATAGATTATCCCCGCTGGACCTCCAGGGCTCGAATTCAACTGTATCCGGCAAAAGAGCAACAGGAGGGCCAGCTGTGCCAAACGCACCTAGTAAATTCGCAATCAACACCTCCGCTAGCGCCATTGCATTGATGCCATCAGCTGACCTCGTCATCACTACATTCAAGGCGATAGTCGGGCTACATGCCGTGAGGATATATCTCGGCAATATGGCCCGATCAAGAAGCCCGTGCTGATCAGCAGCGAGAAGAATGTAGGCGACGGCCAGGAACATGCTCGGACCGACGAGAACCGAGATAGCCTGAGTGCCAGTTCAGTGAGTGAAGTGGTTTATGGAGCGGGAGGCTCATCCGCAAGATGAGGAAGACGGGCGCCAGTGTGCCGTAGAGAATGCTACGTCCGGGTCGGATTACGCCGCCGGTTTTGGCTACACTCGGGAAGCACCTAGTAGGCCAGGGTGCAGACGATGCCGATCCCGATGAGGAGCTATGGGTATAGGATGAGGAGAAGGGTTGCATTTGAGATCTGCTGGACGCGGACCGTGTGTGCTGGCTGTCTTGTCATTGTCGGTTGCGCATTAGCTCGTTTTGAAGATAAGGCATGCAGGACTGGGTTAGTAGTTGTGTGCAGAGACAGGGATGCATATCGCCTGTCTGAGTTTATATTAGGTTGATCAAGAAGAGCCAGCCTCTTATTGTGGCATTTGGCCCTTGTGTGCAGGTTGATTATTGTGAAGATAAATTAAAGGGTTGTATAAAATCTGATATCATGATAAAGAGTCTCCATTGCGAATCTTGACTTTACGAGCGGCGCGAGGCACCAGTAACTTGCAATCAGGGTCCGCCATTCTCATGTCTGATGGTTTAAAAATGGCTCCAGGCTGCTTTTCACAGTGCGACAGTGAATGTATAGCTGCCTGGTTCGATGCGGTTCCCAAACTTCGCTGCTTTCAGGCTCACCAATTTATGAACATGATACTTGCAAATCCATGTTATCTTGAGCTGGGATGTGACCACCTTTAGCTACCCATTTCGGTTCACCGATCGAACCTGATCCTGCAGCTAATACGAACTGCATATCGCAGGGATTGTCAAAAGTATACACGGAGCGGGTACAGTGCTCCGTTCCAGTATGCTATCAGTGCATATTCACTTCCCATAATACATGACGACGGGTGCTATGAAGAGGACTAGCGATGCAGAGTAATCATATGCTACTATGCATTCAGCTTTCATGTGAAAGCTGTATGGACAATATTTTGTCGACCCTGAAACGTGAAAGTCTTGGGTCCGTAGATCGAACAAATTCGTATAGATGATAGATGGCAAGGGGTAAATAGTCAGGAGGCGGGGATAAAACATATACCGCGACAGGGCTGAAGAAATAAATCTACAGCCGCCTCCATTTTACCCCCAAAGAAGAGATCCAGAAGAAGCAAGAAAATCTTATCTTTGAAGCCAGCTGGAGTGGTAAACTGAAAGATACGTACCCCTCCTGATCGGCCAGTTCACTAATGCAGTTCGACTTTAATTCTTGGTATTTTGGGGTAGAGAGTCACAGAGTAGGAGTGCCGTCGGATAAGGACTAAGAAAGGCAAAAGCCTCGGCTGAACGAAGCTCTTGTCTTGGCCCGACATCTCCCGTGACAATGGGGGTTAGCCAGAGCGAGACGCCAACCCCAGGTTGTCTTACTCCTAGTAGTGGCAGTGGTACTAGTAGTACTGGTAGGGTATCAATCACAAGCATTTCTAGAGCCAAAGGGCACACTTAAGTCACTGATCCTGCCCAGGTGACGACGGCAGCTTGATTGTCAGTGGCCAGAATGTCTCGTTCAGCATGTGAAGAACTGACTGGCTGAAAACATTAGGGTTGGTTCCGTCATGTCATTGGTGCTGGGTGATGAGGTCACACTCTGGGGGAACCGCACTTGGCTTGACAGCGAACTGCGGAAGAAGTGGCTTCGAGTTATTATCCCGATGCCTCGGGATGAGATACGGTACGTACGGTAGATGTCTGGCTGGCTGGCTTTGTAGAGGACACGGCCAGCGGGAGACGTGGAAAAGAAAGCATATATAGAAAATAGCCCACGAAGGCTTGGAGACTGACTGTAACTTAATCCCGCTTCTATTCAAATAACCTTGTTGCTTGGGCTTCGTGGTGATTCGGTTGAATCGCGGCTATCATCCGCTCGTCCAGAGAGCTTACCTCCGCTTCCCCGTCAGAGCTTCCTCCACGGCCGGTTCGCTGTAACAGGAAGTCTAAAAAAGAAAGCCGCCACTTAACCCGAGCCCGTTTAATGATCCCCCATTCCCGAAAATTATCTATTATTATTTCTAAATCCTTTAACCCCAGAGTGTGCCCCCTTTCCCTATCCACCGATTTAAATACCCTGTGTCAGTTGTGCCGAGGGACGTCGTAGCTATACTTCCGTATCTCCCCGTATTTTAAGGTCGCCCTGTGAAGGTCCGATATCGTCGATATTCTTTTCTTTAATTAAGAAAAAAAAGTCATCCCTGGCGCTCGATTGACGATTGAGTCATCTTCCTCTCGACCTCCTTTATCTTCAATTCCTTTCCCTTTCGCGTGCCGTTGTTCTCCCCATACCGTCGCATTGACCTAGACAACTATACTTCCTCATTGGAAGGGCATCGCACTTCAATTGACTCGATAACAATTCAATAATTGCACAAACACAGTCGCCCACCATGTCGACGAAGAGTGCGCAAGGCAATGGCAATGGCAATAGCAAGAAGCCGCCCTCTGCGGCCGTGAACTTGATCGGTAAGGCTCATTTTGTCCAACCCGAAGGTCGCACGTGCTAACCTGTGAAACAGCTGGTGGCGGCGCCGGAATGATGGAGGCGCTCGTATGTCATCCTCTAGGTACGGGAATACCCAATTCAAGATTTCTTCGGAGGCAATGGCTCACCGTCATGGTTAGATACCGTTAAGGTCCGGATGCAGCTTTCGCGGCGCGCCAGAGCCCCGGGTGTAAAACCCCGCGGGTTTGTTGCCACTGGCGCTGAGATTGTGAAGAAGGAGACCGCTCTGGGTCTCTACAAGGGTCTGGGAGCTGTCCTGGGAGGTATTGTTCCGAAGATGGCTATCCGTTTCACCTCCTATGAGTGGTACAAGCAAATGCTTGCGGATAAGGAGACGGGACATGTCACAAGCAAAGCAACTTTCCTTGGTAGGTTTTTGCACATTACCTCGTGTTCTATTGCCTGGGAAACTGACCAGTCTCATTCAAACAGCCGGTCTATCTGCTGGTGTCACCGAAGCTGTGGCAGTCGTCAACCCTATGGAAGTCGTCAAGATTCGTTTGCAAGCGCAGTATCACAGTTTGGCCGACCCTCTCGATGCCCCTAAGTACCGCAGTGCCCCGCATGCACTTTTCACCGTGATTAAGGAAGAAGGGTTCAGCGCTCTTTACCGTGGTGTCTCCCTGACAGCCCTCCGACAGGGAACAAACCAGGCCGCCAACTTCACTGCATACAGCGAGCTGAAGGCTGCGCTCCAAAGATGGCAGCCAGAGTACGCCGATGCTCAACTCCCATCTTACCAGACGACCGTGATCGGTTTGATCTCCGGTGCCGTCGGTCCCTTCTCCAACGCCCCCATCGACACAATCAAGACGAGGCTGCAAAAAACCCGTGCTGAGCCCGGCCAATCAGCTGTGTCACGCATTATGGCCATCGCCAACGATATGTTCAAGCAAGAAGGTGCACGCGCTTTCTACAAGGGTATTACGCCTCGTGTGATGAGAGTGGCTCCTGGTCAGGCCGTCACCTTCACCGTGTACGAATTCCTCAAGGGCAAGCTGGAAAAATCCAACTGGGCCTTCGTGGGAGGCAGCTTTGAAGAGTAGATTTGGCACCACTGGAGGGAGTGGCCGCTGCGTGTTCTCGAAAGCATTTGATACCATGAGCATGGTGGCGTTTTCGATTGCAATGCGATCTCTGCATCATCAGTACATATGATTTTGTCGTTATCTTCTAGGCTTCTTGACGGCCGTTTAGATTTGATCTTATAGCGTGGACTGTACATAGTTCTTTTCTTTTCTTTTTTTTCTGTTAGTTTTGTTGTTATACCTTTTCCTATGTTCCATTAGTGAAGATATCAAACAAATTCAGGACCAAGTTGCCTTGAATCGGTTGAGTTAAGACCAGTTGTTTAGAAAATAGGATAGTAGGTAAATGTCGGCGTAAACATTCCGAAGGACCTTGAAACGAAGGCCAACGCTAAGACCCCACTTGTCCAAGCACACCGCTTCTGACTTCCCCTCAGCAGTCTCCAGAGACAACAAACACCGCAGCCCGGTTGACAAGTCATATCTACACAAGAGACCAGGCTACGGCGGGTGTTCGTTGAAAATGCAGTCAGGAATCTCGGGTAAGCAGCCATAATGCAGGGTCTGCATTCTACGGTCACTATAAAGCGTGCCCCGCGGCTCTCTACTGGACCGAACTATGCACAGGAAACACTAACAACCATTATATTGATTAGTCTCCTCGGAGCTACATGATGCCTTCAATAACTTCGTCTCGGACTCATCGATCTTCTGCCTCCCGGTGAACATCACCACTGAGAGTCTGACTCCCTTCGCCGATCCCCTTCTCCTCTCCGGGTGCTTTCTACCCCTCTCTCTCTCAGCTCTCCTCCGTCCTCCAGCCGAAAACCCCCATCTATCTTCTTCTTCGCCGTCCGGAGTCTGGGTCTTCGTCTCTTATCGCATTGACCTACATCCCCTCCAATGCTCCGGTGCGCGCCAAGACCCTTTTCGCTTCTACCCGTGCAACGCTGGTTAGGGAACTAGGCAGCGAGAAGTTTGCCTCGACTATCTTCGCGACTGAAGAGGATGAGATTGTGGGTCAGGATGCGTGGAAGGAAAGAGATGCAGAGAAGAACGGCTCTAGCAAGAGCCGTTCTCAGCGCGAGGAGCTCATGGGCGAGAAAGAGCGGGAGTTGGAAGCCGTCCGGAGAGCCGAGGATGAGGCGAGAAGTGGCACCCCCGGTAGGGACATCGGAATCGGGGGTTCCTTTGCTAGAAGAAATGGTGGTATCGGAGCACCATCTAGCATGCAGTACAAGATGCCTGTGGATGACGAGGCAAAAAATGCTCTGGGAAGTCTCCAGCCGGGCGACTTGGTGCAGCTGGTAAGTTGATGTGGAGGGCGAAGAATTTCCGACTTGTTGAAGGTTTTGATTGAGTGCTAACTCTACTTTCCCCTAAATACAGGCCATTGATATTCCAAGGGAGACATTCGTCCTTGCTGGGGTAGAGAACGGGACTATCCCTAACTCGGTCGAGTCTCACATCTCCTCATCTTCACCACGTTATACATTTTATCATTATCCCGATACTGACGTGGTGATCTTCGTCTATACTTGCCCGTCGGGTTCGTCGATCAAGGAGCGTATGCTATATGCTAGTTCCCGAATGTACGCCCTCCAACTGGCCGAAGACCAAGGTCTGAAGATTTCTAAAAAGGTACGAGTTCATGTCGTAAGCAGATGTTTGATTGGGGCAATTTTAACGATGAGTGTGCAGATCGAAGCATCTTCACCAGACGAGATCACAGGCGACAGACTGCAGGAGGAAGTGAGCCCGCCACAAAACGACGGACTAAACCGTGGATTCGCAAGACCGAGAAGACCCGGCAGGTAGAGGGTGCTATCTTCCAGCCTCCTAGATTGCTATTTCTCCATCATCTCTCTTCTTCTGTAATTAAGTTATCTTTTGGAGTTGCCCGAGACAGCGGAATCCTTGGCTTATCGCTCTAGCAAAGGGCAGGAATGTAGAACGCGGAATAGTCGTTTCCGCCATAGACTCGAACCGAACAAGACCGACAAGCGGTGAAAGTGACCATCGCGCGGGGTCAATGATTTCGAAAACTTTTCTTTTGGTAGAATAAGTCCGTCCTTGAACTTCCCAGGTTTATAATCTTTGGACACCCGTCTCGATCCTTCTCTAATCGCGTACATTCAAAGCAGTAGAAAGCATCACTGATTCCTTCACCACCGCAGACGATGCACTTGTTCTGGTAGTTACCAAACGAGCACTCATCGCAGATTCGAACGAGAGTCGTGGGGCGCACGTAGGAATCGCACACGGGACATTTACCATCACACTTGTCGCACAGTCGGCCGATGGAGATACCCGGCTGCTTGCGGCACATAACGAGATCGGGGTGATGGCGAGACATGGTGACTTCAGAAGGCGAGACAAAGGCAACAGAAGCTCAAGTGAAATGGCTAACAACAGGGAATAGAGAAAACTCCGAGTGAAAAAAGTTCTTCGCTAAATGAAAGTCTCAATTATAATGATTGACAAATGCCCTAGTAAGTGTTGTAGGACAGAGGGAGTTATGAACCTGAGCGAAGGTGTTGGAGAAGACGGAGGAAAGGGAAGAAGTTTCCATGCGGAACTTGCGCTCCATATCAGGAATGTGGTCCGTGCGTAGACAGGACACGGGAGGCCCGCCGTTCATATCGCGATACCGAGTAGTTTTCAAGAGGATCGATTCTGCAGATCTGAGGAGTCAACTTTACTGCATGTTGTCTACACCGTCTATTTCATACTTATCGTATTATCGATAGTCGATACCACCCACTTGTTATTCCCCACCTATATTAGTGTGTTTGTGTCGAGGCGTGTTTGACTACTTTGAAAGACAGATATGGCTGAAGGGTAAGCGGTCAACTTGATACAGCTCCGAGACAGCTGCTGACAGCGTATATGAGTAGGACACTGGCCTCGGCAGTTATACTGCCCGAACAGGACAACCTTCCCCCATCCCCAGATGCTGGTTTGAAGCGAAGAAATTCCGTTGCAGAAGCCGACTCGGAGAGCAAACGTCGTCGCCTTAGCTCACAAGAAGAGCACACGGGCGATCGATCACCTGCGGAGCGCAAACAATCTTCCCCAGATGGAGCGGAACGCAAACCAGAACGGAGGCCCGGCCGAGGTGGACGCGAGGAGGAACGCAAGCGTGGACAACGTCTATTCGGTGCTTTACTGGGGACGCTTTCGCAGAGCTCGAACTCGGCGGCTCAGAAGCGGCGTGCGGATATTGAACGGAGGCAACAGGATAAGCTTAAGTTACAGGATGAAGAGTACGACGAGTTGAAGAAGAAGAGACGGGAGGAACGGGTCGCTACCCGGAAGAAGGAGCAGAGACTCTATGAAGAGGAATCGGTAGGTTTCTTGGATCGGGATATTCATCTGCTTTTTGGTTTAGGGCTGACAAGCGGATTATAACTTACAGTTGCGCACGCGACACTCGAATCTACTGGCAATGTCTCATTTCCTCAAGACAAAAACTGAGCCTGTATTAGTATGCCTACCTGCCTTAGCTACGACCCCGGACTTAACTAACAGTATATCTACAGTACTATAAGCCATGGCAGCTTCAGTCCGGAGATGAAGCGATCATACGTGAACAGGTTGAGGAAGCAGAAGCCACTGTTGCTCGAGAGGTCGCAGAATTCGAGGCGCGTTATCCATCCCATGAAGAGGAGTCTTCGAAGAAACAAGACGAGGTTGCACAAGAAGACAACCATGACCAGGCCCCTGAACCCGAAGCAGAACATAAAGAGGACAAGGATGCAACCCGTGAGACCGACACGGCGGGTGCTGAGACTAACCACAACAGAGACCCTGAAGCAGCTCCGTCCGATGCTACGGCTACTATTAATAATAACATGTCTATCAATAATGACCATGCAGACGTTCATCGAGGGGCTGACGACGACGGTGGCGAGGTTGTCGAGGATAAGGAGGATACAGTGATTTACTAAATGCTAGTCGATACCAATTCTTTTTCGTTGGTTCTCAATTTTTTATTTATGTTAAATTTTTTTCCCCTAACACCGACTTTTATGTATGTATGTGAGCTATCATTGGGAGGTGTCTCCTGCATCTAAGGAATCGTACATTAACGGGCACAACCGAGGCTATGGATTATCCGGCGAAGTCAACAACTTAGCGGCATTGGCTCTGAAGATCACTACAAATCACATTCTTATATACCGGTTGACAACGCCTTCCAGCAAACTAGTCTTCCAAGATTCTCTCAACATTTAATAATACTAGTGCCCAATCCTTAGCCTGTAGCCTCATTTTTCCATACATCAGCACTGGTTCACGTGACAGACAGCTGGCGGGGTCTCCATACAGCTCTATAAATAAAAGAAAAAGTCGGTATGCGCAGGAAGACCTGACCCAGAAATTTTCCTTCTGCTTTTCACGGGTTTCGCTATTTATTTACCTTGCATTAACCCGTGAAGCTGTACAATTTCCAGCCCTTGCGTTGCAATCATGATCGTTGATAAGATCCATGTAACCGACGATCTCCGAGTCGAGCGCCGTTTCGCTGATGTTAACGGCAAGACATATGGTATGCAGATTTCATTTTTCCAGGGTCGTGAATCTGGGCTGGAGATGAGAGCCTGAAGTTCTTGTGCCCCTGAATATACGATTCTCTAGACTTTGTGAGTTGATGGGGGGTATATGAGCTGATGATATATGTTCCCGCAGGTTATCTCTACAGTGAGCCTGATACGGGCGTATATAGAGCGACTATCTTTCTTGTGCGTGGGACACCGGAATCATGAATTATCTTTGCAAATAACGCAAAAGGCAAAGAAAAACAGTCAAAGGCTAATTCATGGTTTTTAGCTTCATGGCTTCCCAGACCTGTCAATGGGGTGGCGGTATCAGATTCCCATGTTGACGGATATGGGTCTGAGGGTCATTGCGCCAGACTGCCTAGGATACGGGAGGACGGTACGCACCAGAACGCCAATTGCCGGGGATCTACCGGTATATTGACAATACAACAATGCTAACAATGCGGGTAAACAGGAAGCCCCAGAGGATCCTCATCATTATTCTCACAAGAGGTGCGCCAATGACATCAAAGAACTCGCCTTCCAGCTTGGAATTTCTAAAATCATTGTCGCCGGACATGATTGGTATGTTCATGTTGCTCCTTGGGCCTCAATTGTCGGTCTAGACATCGACGTCAAAGTTGCTAAGTCTCGATGTACATAGGGGCGCCGCTCTCGCATACCGTGTAGCCCTCTGGCATCCAGAACTAGTAACACACATCATCACCGTCTGTGTACCATACGCCGCGCCAACGAGGCGATACTTTCGCCTTAAAGACATGGTAGAAAGGATAGCGCCTCATTTCTATTACCAGCTACAGTTTATCAGTGGAGAACTGGATAAATATGTTCAGACCAAAGAAGATATCAAGAGATTCCTCTCCGCCATGTACGGCGGGCGGACCCCCGAAAACGAAATGGCGTTTGATGCAGAGCTGGGCATTCTGCCCGATAAGTTGGCACGTGTACTCCCCTCAGAGTTGTTGAGCGAGGAAGTAGGTTATTGCCATTGTATCTCTCCACCAATAAACTTAGGGTCGGTTATGCTGATAGAGTTTCCAGGAACTTGAATACTATGCGGAGGAGTTCTCGAGGAACGGCTTCCATGGTCCATGTACGCTACCCCTTGTATTCGTCAATTGAGTTAAAGTTAAAAACGACTAACAAGCGCACTTAGTTAACTGGTACCGAACCCGGGAAATCAATTACAGAGAGGAACTCGCCATCCTTAACAAACACATCACTGCTCCGGTGCTCTTCATCCAAGCCCTCCGCGATACGGCTCTTCCGGCACATCTTGGCAGGGGAATGACCAGGACTATACCCCATATGACCTTCAAGCAGATCAATACCTCTCATTGGGCGCTATGGGAGAAACCAGGAGAGGTCAATGAGATCATTGCGTGGTGGTTGGATGAGGTTGTGTTCCGAGACCCGAGGATGTTCAAGTTGTGATGGGTTTCGATGTTGATACGCAGACGCTGGTGCGCTGTACATATCTGTAGTGTTATTCGTGTGACTTGTTTTACTATCCTTTGTTTGCTTATCTATGTTGAGGTACGGAACCCTGACTATGTGCATTAATTACCGTCCTTATTTGTGGGCTGTTCAGAATTGTATGGTTTAGATAATGTTTCGATGATGCTGTATGGATATTCGATGTTTCATTATGTGTATTGACTAGAGGAAGCATTAATTCGACTGGCACAGTGCAATAATACATGCAAACTCATTAAAC